CCCCCTCTTTTGTTTTGTCATCAAGGCAGGGTCTCGTCACGTAGTCGAGGCTGACCTTGAACTCACAGTGCTCTTGCTTCAGCATCTCAAGTCTCAGAATCACAGGCAGCACCTGGCCCAAACACTGTTTTACGATGATTAGCAAAGCAGGGCCCAGAGCTAAGTTCCTTGTTTTACTGCTTTCCAGAATTTAGGACATACTGTCTAAAAAAGAAACAAAAATAAAAGCCAGGCGTGGTGGTGCACAGCTGTAATCCCAGCACTTGGGAGGCTGAGGCAGGAGGATTGCTGTGAGTTCAAGACTTCCAGGTCACCCGGAACTGCACAGCAAGACACGGTCTCGAAAAAAAAAAAAAAAAAAAAAAAAAAAAATTAATTCTATTATTCAACTCTCTCTGTCATTCACGAGAGATGAAAGCTTTTGGCAGTGTTTTTCAGAAGTAAGTTTCTAACCCAAATGACACTTTTCGTTATGTTTTGACAGTGAAGTCTACATATGCTTAGGCCAGGTACCCCTGTTTTAACAGCTAAAAGAAGTGGACCCTCGGCCAGGAGCCCAGCAGCTCCTCAACATCAGGGTGACGGGAGGGCAGCAGCTGTCGCACCACCTGGCAGCATTATCCTTAGCAAACGCCAGAGTCAGATGCCAAAGCTAATGGTCATGTAGTGTCCTTAAATGGTACTTAAGAAAAATGTGGCTTCAATCAGAAGACATTTAAAAGTTGAACATGTAGGGCTTAAATAAAAATGCCATGACAAGGTACGTGGCCGAAATATTTAAGAACTGTAGGGTCAGAACATACTTGCCCTTATGCAGGCAGCCCTGGGTTTCATTCCCAGCACCCAATCACCATCACAATTTAGGTGCAGAATGTGTCCCAAGCCAGCAATAAAGATGCACCCCAGGTTCCATCAGCTTTCTCGAGAAGGACTCCGAAAGCTGAATATATTATCTCCAAATGATTCTGACACAGCCTATTTTGGGGACCACCCTTCTGACAGATGATTCCAAAGGGTGAAGTGGCATTAGCCAAAATGTGAACTTACACATATGCAGAACTGATTACATAAAACACTAAATAGCTTTTTCTTTTACCTAGGACATGAAGAATGCCACCCTTTCCCTGAATTCCGATGACACTGAGCCAAAATATTACCCTATAGAAGTTCTGTTAAAAAGTCAGAATCAGGGGCTGCCTGAGGATGTGAACCCTGCCAAAAAGGAGGTGAGTGGATAAAGGCGCTGGCACAAGCAGAGCCCCTCCTCCACTTGGTCTTCGTAAAGCACCATCTTAGAAAATGGCCTGGGACAGTTCCAGCCTATTGTAGGCACTCCCTCAAGGGGAATCTGAGCAGCTATCCAGTGGCCCATACCCAAAACAAGGATTCCTTGATGCTTTTCTCACCCGCCACACGAATCCTTACAGTTCATCAGGGAGCCCGTCTGCTCCTATCCATCTCTACTGCTAGTCCAGCCCAGCTATCATGGACCACCTCCATCCAAATGGATTCCACCCCATGTAAACACAATTATGAAGAATGACCATTGGCCAAATAGCTCAGTGGATTAAAGTGTCTATAAGCAGGCGCAGAGGCCAGGTTCCATCCCCGGGGCCTGCCATGCCGCCCCGCCCTCCAGGGGCACACTGAGATGGCAATTAAGACTGGGCTCTGTGGCATGCACCTGTAATCCCAGGTCTTGGGAGGCTGTAAACAGGTGGATCACTACGAGTCCTGTAGACCCTTCCCCCCCAAAAAAAAAAAAAAATTATTAAAAAAAAAAGAATGCCCAAGCTGGGCATGGTCATGAATACCAGTAATCCCAGCACTCTGGGAAACTGAGGCAGGAGGAACACAAACCAGAGCCCAGTCTGGATAATTTAACAACTTCAGAAGACACTTTCAAAATAAAAAACCAAAAAAGTGCTAGAGATTTACCTCAGTGTGAAGGCCATAGGTTCAATCCTCAGTACTGCCCCCGGCCCCAAGACCAAAGTCATTCTTTAAAGATGTCACTTCCCTGTTTAAAATGCCTAGGCCGGCTTCCCACAGCACTTAGAATGTGAAGGCCTCAGCCTGGCCCCTGGCCCTCCCTCAGGTTTCTCTCCAATACCACTGGCCTCCTTGCTTATCTCTCTTCAGCCAGGGGTTGCCCTTCGGTTCCTCCCATATGCTCATCCCAGTCCTGGGGCCTTTTAAACTCACCAGTGCTCCAGCCTGAACAAGTAGCATTCTCTGACATCGGGGTCCAGTGCCTCTCGCCATTTTGCTCTCAACTCCATCACCTCCCAGACAGGCTTTCTCTCACCTCTCTGGTCTTTTTTATTAGCACATGTTTGCAGTAATTAGGTTCATCCATCTTGGGAGGTAGGAACATGTACATAACACAGCTTGGTTTTTGTTTTCATCCCCTTCCCACCTCCGTCTCTGGCTATAAATCCCCTTTCCCCATTTTCTTTTATTATTATTCTTAGCTCATGTTCATGATATGTTTACATATGACATATGACATTATGAGTGTAGCGTATGCTGTTAAGAGTCCTGTACATGGCATGTTTTCACTCTTCTTTGTTTCCCTCCCTCATTTTCTCCATCTCCTGGGCTCCCTTTCATGATCAAGAGACCCAACCCCGTATTTCCTTCTATCAGTCTTTTATTTTGTGGTGGCACACACCTGTAATCCCAGCACTTTGGAGAGAGGCTGAGGCAGGAGGATTGTCGTGTGTTCAGACCAGTCTGGACTCTAGTAATATCCCTAGAAGGCCCTGTGTATTCCAGTCAGATTTTCAGCCTTGCAGCACCTACACAGAGCCTAACACATAAGAAGCACTCCTGAAGTTTTGGTTGAATGAATTAACATACTGGGCTGGGGAGATGGCTCAGTAGAATAAGTGCTTGCCTAGCAAGGGCAACGGCCTGAGTTCAATCCTCAGTTCCGCAAAAACAAAACAAAACATATTTATTTGAATGAATTATTTTCCCCCAATCACTTCAGCCTTCTGGCTAAGATCAAGTGAATGAATTATTCTCCCCTTGAAAGAGTTGATTTGGGAAAGGGCTCTGGTGGTATCACAATGACTTCTCTAATCAAATGTTAAGGATCTGGACTATAACATTCTTAAAAACAGAGGCTATAAATAATCTTTACTTGCATACAAAATATTCATTACATCAGGAAACAAGTCTTAGAAATGTGTAAGACCGTCTGATCTTGTACACATCTGAAAAGTTTAGGGGACTGGAAGTGTAGCTCAGCGGTGCTTAGCATGCCCAAGCTTTGGGTTTAATCCCAACGTCCCCCAGATTTTAAGTTCTGATAAAAATGGTACTTAAGGACAAACTACCACTAAGCTAAGCAAGGAAAGGCATCACTCAGTTGTTACCCATTCTGCCCAAATCGAATTAATCCATGATGTATATAGCCTTGTAGGTCATCTCTCTAGGAAGAAATGGACCAGGAGTGCAGGCGCCCTGGTGCCTCCACCAGTAATGAGGGAACTCCACAACTTGAAGAAGCCTCTGCTGGGAACAATTGCAGTCTGTCCGTTAGGCTTCCTGGGAATTCTACTTCCCCCTTCAGAGCTACCTAGGCCTTCCGCTTGCCCCCACCCTGCCTTCTGCTGGCCTTAAGAGTGCCACAGGTCTTCTAACTAGCTTTGTTTTTCTCCCTTAGAATTACCTCTCCGAAAGCGACTTTGTGTCTGTATTTGGAATCACAAGAGGACAGTTTTCTGCTCTGCCTGGCTGGAAACAGCTCCAATTAAAGAAAGAAAGGAGGCTTTTCTAGAGAAAGAAGGCTGATGCCTATTGCAAGACTGAGAGCGCAGGCAATACTAGGAAAGAACTTGCACATTTCCGTGTGGCATTCAGCTACTTGTCCAGATACAACAGAGTGAAAAAAAATCACACCATGTTCTCCACTTTATCTTGTTTTTCCCTTCACTTTATCTTGCACTGCCTGGTTATTATATGCCTGCAAAAATGTGCCCCGCTCCTCTTTTGGGGGGGCTTTTGTGGCCTTTAGCTAAGGACAGCACAAAACTGCATGAATGTAGAGAAATTTAAAAAGGAGGAACAGGATCTACATTTGGCTTAAATTTTATTTTGTTTTTTTTGCCTCAAACTCACAGTAATCCTTCTGCCTCAGCCTCCCAAGAGGCAGGGATTGCAGGCATGCACCACCATGCCAGGCTAGATCAATATTTCTAAAATCTATTTAACCTACAAAGCACTGAAGTTATGTGCGTACATATAATCCAACCTCAGTATCCAAGATCCAGGTCTATTATGTGCCAGACTATTTTTAACTTTTCAAATAAAGATACTTATAGGAGCAAACAGAGCTCATTTTAGTATTTGGGGCTTGCTTATTACAGTAATTTTACCTTCTATTGGGAGAGATGGACTGGGGAAATAGGAAACACTGAATGAACTCTCTGGATAACTGGACCACTGTCATTCTGGCGGAAGAATGTCAACACTCTTCCATAAACCTGTCCAGGAAACAGAACTCACTCACCCACACCCCATCATCCAAAACAGAAGTAAAGCTACGTGCTACTAATTTCTGCAGATGTGGCTAGAACTGGGGAGCAGACCACTGCCAAGAGCTTTAAAGGATGCTACAGGCATCAACACCTGAACCCAGTTTTCAGAACCTGAACCCAGTTTTCAGAGCCCTCTAGTTTGAAACAACAGTTGCAAAGAAACCCACATGGCAGGTGGAAGTGGAGAAGCTCCAGGAAGACGCCTGCCCAAAGCAGAACAGCAAAAGCAGAACAAGAGACTTCTGTGTCATGGGGGTGAGAAAGAACACATAACTTCGAGATTTCAGGGACACCAAAATAAATCAGTGCTGAAGGAAGCAGCAATACAACTGATGACTGTTCTCTGGACAGTCGTATCAGTAAGATGCACCTGTTGCTCCCTAAACCCTGTCACAGAAAAAGCACAAAAGAGCTACAGTTGTTATCACGCAAAAAGGAAAACACTACTTTCTGTTGTGTAACTGTTTTATTTAATAACTTTACCCGTGTGAAGTATATCATTTCATCATAAACTCAAAAAACAATTCTGGGTTTAAAAAAGCTTAGTAAGTAACTTAGGATGATGTCCAGAGCCAAAAGAAGCACTTCCTCCTGGGCCCAAAGGCTCTGAAGCCTACTGGGCCTCTGCTGCCTCTTCAGCTTCTCCACATTCAAAGCGCACAAAGTCCACCACAGACACGCCCTGGGGCTGCACATACTGTCCCAGCGTGATGGAGGGATCCAGCAGGTATGGCTGAGACAGCAGCCTGGTCTCTGCCTCTCCCCCAGGCTCGTCGTCCAGCGAGCCTACGGAGAGAGGGGCCATGCCCACCACATGCTGCCCAAGGCGGCGGCCAAGGTCTTCCAGGCTTGCTCTCTGCTCTGATGTCTCGCAGATGACCAGGGCTCCATACTTGCCCAGCACCATGTTGTGGAATGAGGGACTGTGCTCTGCTCCGTGGACGTAGGAGCCAATGTAGAACCCACACGGCACCTTCACCCACGCAGCCCGTTTAAGGACCATGTTTTCTCCCAGTTTCCCTATTGAAAAAAACAAAACAAAACAAAAAAAAAACCAGAAAACCAACATGCCACCAGAATACAACGCCTATGACTATATCAACATATGCACCAAGCACAGACAGTCACACCAAGCTTGGAAGGCAGTCCTGTATATACACCAGATACACAGTAAGATGGAGATATCAAATTGTCAGTTTCTGCTTAAAGACATGGGGGTGGAAAGTACTTTATGGAGCCCCTACAATGTATTGAACATAGTTCCAGGAACACTGGTATTTAACAGAGGCTGTGGTATCACAGACTCAAGTCTAAGTTGTGCTGTTTTCTGGGCCTAACATTGGGCAAAAGACTTATTGACATAACCCCACTAATTTATCAAGCCTTTGTTCCCTAATCTATACCATGAAGATGAAACCTACCTGTCAGGATTACTGGAAGAAATAAATAAGGTGAAATATGTAAAGACTGGGCATACAATAAGCACTCAGCTACTATCACATTAAATTTAGGCTTAAGAGAATTTAAGTAACCCACCCAAAATATGTGGCAGAGCTGGAATTCAAAGTTCATATTTTACTCCAAAACAAATGAGTGATTTTTCCCACCAAATAATCATTCCTCCCAAATACATTGCACCTTAGCTGAGGAAAGACAACTCCTGAGCACCCAATGTATCAGGAAAGGTCTACAACTAAAAACTACAAAAAATCCAAAATTCATACCATCAGATAGTTTCAAATTTCAACATTTAGAGCGTTTATAATAAAACTTTTCCAGTTTTTTTTTTCTCCAGGAAGCCAAAAAGAGGGAAGCAGGAAGGAGTAGGAAGTAGGACAGGATAAACAAAGGATTTGGATTAGTATGCCTAGCTTAGCCAGTTCTAAACTAAGAGTTATAAAAAGAGAGAATCAAGAAACCAAAACAAATTCTTAAATAGCACAAAAAACATTTACCCATCAGTTAATTCCCAGAAATTAGGCAGGCTTGAATAAGCAGTTCTTCCAGGATTTCTTGGCAAGTCCTATGTCTTTCCTTCTAAATTTAAAAAAAATCTTTTATATTTAGGTATTTACTTGGTATAGGGTCTCTCTACGCAGCTTGGACTCGTAGTGATCCTCCTGTCTCAGTCTCCCCAACACTGGGATTACAGGCGTGTACCACCAAGCTGGGTCTCAGTGGCCAGCACAACATGTGGTACATGGGACTGAACACTGGTCCTGGAGCTTGCCAGGCAAGAGCTTAGACCGCTAAGCCATCTCCCTAGCCCCTTCCTTCTTCTTTTTCAACCTGGAACTGAACTCAGGACATGAACTTGCCAGGCAGACACTGTGCTGCTGAGCTGTAACCCTAGCTCTAAGCCCCATTTCTTACACACAGCTCACTGAGTGGTGCGCATCCATGACTCATGCATCAGATACTGTAGGATGACCTAGTGAAAACAGAATCGATGCCTTAGCAGGAACTTCAGAGTAGTGTTACATTGCCGGCAACTCCAGCCTCAGCCTCTTTCACTCCGTCACAGACGTGTAGAAAGAAAGCAGACCTCCTACGAGTCCTACCACGATGATCCAGACGTTGTTCCCAGTACCAGCAGGCTCTACAAGAATGTACCTTTACAAATTCAGGTGCTTAAAGCACTATTTTCCCTTTACTGCATTTAGAGGTCATCAACCGGAAGCCAAAGAGCCATCTCTGCCTAAGGACCTGCTCACTTGCTTGTATAGTGATAAAAATAATCTTTGCAAGTTGCAAAACACTAAAACTCTGCAATTGTTGCATATAAATCTAAATTCTTTTATGGAATTTAGAAATTCTGGTGACAATGGAACTCCATTTGCCCCACTGTGACAATCTCTGGAGCTTGGTGACAGTGGAGAAGGGGCTCTTCAGAACGTCCCCACTTCCTACCACCTAACAGGCAACTCACTTCTCGTCGTGGCATCTGGGCCCTGCAGGCACATGAGCTTATGTTTTTGATCTAGATTGGGAGGAACATCAAGATACCAAAACATCCGATCTTCAATTTCCAGTTTCTAGAATCCTTATAAATAAATACTCACCAATTGCTAAGGCCAACCGATCCTTCAGAGAGCCGTCTCTGTCAGGCCCAGCTGGAAGTCCAGAAAGCTCCGAGGAATTCAAGAAGCCCTAAGCTCACAAGAAAACAAACAGGCCAGTTCTACACAATTGAAATTATCAAGAGAACAACCAAAAACAGCCTATTTTTAAGAAAATGTGAAGACACCTAGATATGGTTTCATTAAGCCAAGCATGTTAACACTTGATTATACTTTATTACTGCATCGTACTCAACTCCATTCCACTCCTATTTTCTACCTTAGCTTTTAAAATGTAATCTTCTAGAAACCAAGAACAATACTTTCATATGATCAGAAAATGTAAAAGGAGAGATAAGGAGGTAGCTCAGTGGGAGAGAGCATAGCTAGCCTGCATGAGACCCTGGGCGAAATTTTGAGTACCACAAAAAGGAAAGGTTAAAGACAGGAGCCTTACAGATTGCTGGTGGGACTGCAAAATGGTACAAATTCAGTCATGGAGAATCTGGACAATATCTAGCAAAACTACATACACATTTATCCTTTACCCTGGAATTCTGTTTCTACGGATTTGATGACACACTTTCAATGATACAAAAGTATATATGTG